TTTCTAAAACCACACCTCACAACACTTTCAAAAACAAACTTTCAAAAACAAATGAAAACCTTTTCAAAAGACATACATCTTTGTATACATCCCCACATGGATCATTACAAAAGTTGCCACCACATTGGCTTCTTTTCAAAATATTTTCAAACCCACACACACACAAGCACCATTTCAAACAATTGAAAACAAAAGGCAAGTGATCTAAGCAAGTAACTAAGAGCCCATGGATAACCATGGATAGAAAGGGTGCTAATACCTTCCCTTTCTATAATCTACTCCCTGAACCCAAGAAAACATCTCAAAAGGTTTTTGCTGTGCTTTTTAACCTTTCCTTAGGATAAAATAAAAAGTCGGTGGCGACTCTTGCTCAACCGAAACATTTGCGAATACAAACGCAAAACTCATAGTCAGTTCTCCCACCGTATCACAGGTCTCTTTGGGCAAAACAAACAATTAAATGATCATTGTCCCTCAATGACGCTTTCAAAAAGTTGCCTAAACAAATGATCAAGTCCCTTAAAGAAAAATTGCCCAAAGATACTTGGCACCATTGCAATTATGGTCTAAACGATGACCCACGCCCGTCCCTTTCACATCCTAACATGAGATTGTCCACCAAATACAATGGTGGAACAAACTTGTCAAAAGGGTTAAAACATAGCAATAATCTTTGAGAAATTTAGGAGTAGATAACCTCTTAGTTACTTGAATCAAACTTGCAAAAATAAAACACTTGCCTATTTTCTAAAACCACACCTCACAACACTTTCAAAAACAAATGAAAACCTTTTCAAAAGACATACATCTTTGTATACATCCCAACATGGATCATTACAAAGGTTGCCACCACATTGGCTTCTTTTCAAAACAATTTTCAAACCCACACACACAAAGCACCATTTCAAACAATTGAAAACAAAAGGCAAGTGATCTAAGCAAGTAACTAAGAGCCCATGGATAACCATGGATAGAAAGGGTGCTAATACCTTCCCTTTCTATAATCTACTCCCCGAACCCAAGAAAACATCTCAAAGGTTTTTGCTGTGCTTTTTAAACCTTTCCTTAGGATAAAATAAAAAGTCGGTGGCGACTCTTGCTCAACCGAAACATTTGCGAAAACAAACGCAAAACTCACAGTCAGTTCTCCCACCGTATCACATGATGGATCTGGGCACTCTGCTTTCAACTCTTGTTCGTTCTGACTCAATGGTTTCTGCTCCAAAGGCTGTATCTGCTGAAGCTTCTTCATCCCCTGCTCCTACTTCACTTATCATGGATACTCTGAATAAGCTTAAGAGGGAAAATGAAGTCATTCATGAGCGCTTGGATAAGCAAGATCAGACAAACCAAGAAATCAGAAACTGGATGATAAAATAAGAGGAATCTGCATCTGAGATCAAGAATATTCTTATGGCCCTTGTTACTAAGAAATCTTAGTGTCATTTTGTTTCTTGTCTTTTGTTTGTTGTTTTGTACTTCTGGATATTTTTTGTTATTTTGTTAAAACTTTTACTCTCTTCAACTATTTTTATTTACTTTTTGATTATGCCAAAAAGGGGGAGAAAATGAGTATTTTGATCTAATCTCTGATTAACAGTTATGGGACTAAGTCTCAGACATTCTAACAAAATACAATATTTCTTTCTATGTGCAAAAGAATTTTTGCAGGTATCACTTAAACTCTGGAAGTTTAATTCAGCTGAACATTATCTTCAAAAGATGTGACTTAAGAAATCCAAGAAGAAAATTTCAAAGTTCTGATAAATATTCTCAGGAAGTTTTTCTTATAGAAATATTTATTTCAGGGGTAGATTCTTATCTCTTATTCAATTTTATTTCTATATCTGAATATTTTTTGTCATCATCAAAAAGGGGGAGATTGTTAGAACAAGATTAGTTCTGATCATATCTCAGAGTTTTGATGATAACAATAAATTATATTTTATATAATTGATACTCTGATGAATGTATTTAATTGTTTCAGATAATGTTCTGACAGAAGAATTTTGATGTGCTGAGCTAAAAATAAATGAAGAAGTTCTTTCATGAAAGAACTATTTGTTTTAGCACAACTGTTGATGCTGACTCTGGTAAGATAATTATTTAAATGCATCTTCTAACGCTTAGCAGTATTCCTTGTTCGGAAGTACCTTGAAAGCAAGTATTGTTCAGAAGTTTATTTGAAAGCAAGCGATGATCAAAAGTACTTAGCAAGCAAAGCGTTGTTTAGAAGATATGCAAGCATGTTCTGAATTCAAGACGTAAAGCAGGTTCTGAAAGAATATAAAAGTTAACAAGTCTTGTCAAGCTTCAGGAAACATGTTCTTACAAGTGTCGTTTGCTCATTTAATGCAAAGACGGCTGCATGCACTCAAGTGTCTACGCTAGTTCATTAGTAAATGGAATAGTGCAAGGAAACACGCAAGCATTTAATGCTCTCCACTTTTGAAGGCAGCAACGGTCATTTTGTTCTTACTATATATAGAAGGACATTTATTTCAAGCCAACTACTAATTTAATTTCAAAAGAAGCAAGAACTACGTGAAAATTTGTGGGCTCATAAATTCTTTATTCATACACTTTTTGCAATATTATTCTTAGTGAAAAATCATAGTTGTGATATAGCTTGATTAGAAGCAAACTTTATTTCACTATCTGTAAAGATTAAACTCTTGTAATTGTTCCTTGAGAGACCAAGTTTGGTCAGATTTCTCAAGTAGACTAGGACTAGTTTAAGTCTTAGTGGTGTTAGTCACTTGTAAGATTACTTGTGCATTATTAGTCACAACAGTTGTTGTGTGTTTGTAATCAGTTGATTATAGTGAATTAAGTCCTTATTGAGAAAGGAGAAATCACCTTGACGGGTGGACTGGAGTAGTTTGAGTTCAAACGAACTAGGATAAAAATAACCTTGTCTTTCCATTACTGTTGAGCCTTTAAGAAAAAGAAAAAGAGAAACTTATTCAACCCCCCCCCCCCTTTCTAAGTGTTTTCTCACCCTTCAGAAACAACATTTTTTGACTTAAAAGAAGGTTTTGAAAATTTTCCTTTCTGACATTCTTCACACAGAGCTTCTGAGTTAAACTTCAGATTGGGAAGTCCCCTGACCAGATTGAGTTTGTTAATTTGAGATATTCTTATCATGCTAACATGTCTCGATCTTTTGTTCCAGACCCATTGCTCATCGCTAACAGACATAAGGCATTTTAGATTCTGAGTTATAAGGTCAGAAAGATCAATTTTATAGATGTTGTTCTTTCTCTTGCCAGTAAAAAGGATTGTTCCATCTTTTTGACTAACAACTCTACAGGATTTTTGATTAAAGATTATGTCATAACCGTTTTCACTTAATAGACTTATGGACAGCATGTTATGCACTAATCCTTCTACCAACAGAACATTAGTTATAGAAGGAAGGTTACCGTTTCCAATGGTTCCAGAACCAATAATATTTCCTTTCTGATTTCCTCCAAATTTGACATCTCCTCCAGATTTAAGTTCCAGAATTTAGAACATAGACTTTCTTCTCGTCATATGTCATGAGCATCCAGAGTCCAGGTACCATGACTGGTGTTTCAACTGTGTTGTTAAGGACATCTGCAACATATATTATTTTCTCCTTAGTGTTGTACCCCAATTTTTGACCTAAGATCCCATTTTTATTTTTGCTTTTTTTTAAGATAAGTCAAGGTCACGAAATACGGTCAGTTTTAACGTCTCACCTTCGAGCTTTGACTATGTGAAGATTGTCAAGTGTTTTGAACATTTTGAGCCTATGTGTCACTAATTTCTAATCGCATACAAAGGTGTATGTTCATGTTTTCTTTTGTTTCATGTGCAGAGACAGGTCTGAATCAAGAGCATCAGGTGTCGCGCCTCAATTAAGGTTTTGAGTCTCCCAAGCCAGAAGTACGGTTGATTGTGGATTCTCGAAGACTGATTCATCAAGGCACAACTGTCGCACCCTAAATTTCGCCCCTAATATGTTTTAGTCGCACTTTCATATCATATTTTGTTATTTGGTCACGATCATTAGTAAATATCCTCATTCATCATATTTTGCATCATTAGTCGCATTTAAGTTGATCAGAAAAAATCAGTTTAAATCAAAGTTTGCATCGTCTTTCAGTTGTAAAATACCCGGCGTTTCACATCATTCATTTTTACCTGTTCACTATTTTCTTGCATGACTCCAAGTTGTTTATATGTCGATAATAAAAATATTTCGGTCTTATAGACAAACTGTTAAAAGCGGTTCGACATTGTGCGGAAAATTAGCAAGAAAATATTTCAAGTTTTCACCTTTTACCGATCATTTTATGAATCTGCGTTTCGCATAGATTATGACGGTATGCTCGCTTTATTTTTTCGGTACAGTTCGAAGTCTCGTTTTTAACCTTAAACGTCTGTTTAGTCTGATATTTTTATTATTATTTTATTTTTGATTTTTGACTTCTTGAATATTTTTCTTTAATCTTTGTGACATGTAGATTATTTTAATGTGTTCATTTTATTTTTTCGGATAAATTTTCGTCCGTTTTTTATCATTTTCGGTCATTTTTGGGTCTTTATATTTTATTCATAAAATATTCAAAAATCATTTTAAATTGAGTTATTTTTTATACTTTCAAGGTTTTATTTCTATTTTTTTCATTAAAGGGCTTTTTAGTCACAAAAAAATATTAAATATACTATGCATGATTTTCATTGGTTGCTGGCAGAATTTACGGATCGATACAAAATCACCAAAACACAACTCACTTTCAATACACAGTAACCTATCCTCTCTTCTTAGATACACAACAAAAAAACAAACAAAAAGGCATTAGCAGTAAACCACACTTGCTACCATCCCTCTCTATTCAATTCACATCCACAACAACAAACCCCTTCAATTTCTCTCTTCCGGAATCTGCAAACCAAACTAACACACTTCACTCACTCAAAAACCCTTCTCTCATCTCAATCTTCAATTCTCCTTTTTCCAACTTTTAACGTTAGAGAAACACACAGAGAGTATTATCCATGGCTAGCAGTAGCGTGGCATCAGCAGCTTGTGGATTTATCTTGTCCCTCAATGTTGCTGCCAACAACACAACCTCCTCACTTTCTTCCAGGACTAACATGATGATGTTTCCTATAAAATCCAACAATATTGCTAGTTCTAGACTTGTTGTCAGGGCAACCGAAGATACCGCCGATGCTGCTACCCCTTTCGCCCTCTGTCAAAACAACTAACCTCCATTGTTAAACAAACAACCCACGCTCACAACCTTCTTCAACACAACCTGCACCACCACACATAAAGCCACCGAAATGTACTCCTTTGCCTCCTTCACATGATGCATCCCCTCCATCTGTTTCTCAATCACCTCCTTCCCCTTCAACTGTTCCACCTCCACCCACATTGCCATCAACTCTTACTTCAGGACCTGCAGCAACTCCTACTAACGAAACAGTACATGGTGACAGTCCAATTGTGCCATTTCCATCTATACCAAGTGTTAACGGTTCTGATAATATAGCCACAAACAACGCTCCTTCACATTCGGGAGGGTTAAATACTGGAGTTGTTGTTACTATTGGCGTTGTAGTTAGTTTAATTGTCCTCAGCCTTCTTGGTATCGCTGTGTGCTTTGTACAGAAAAAGAAAAAGGGAAAAGGATCCAGATCTGATTATGCTGCGCCTTCTCCGTATACCTCATCTCACAATTCAGGTCAATACTTAGCTCTCTCAAAAGTAATTCTCTATCAAAAATCGAAATATTATTCAACCTCCTCCTTCATATGGGCCTTTCCCTTATTCTAGTCATTCTGAATTCCTATCATTACACCCCTTTTTTTGGTTTGATACCCCCGTGCTATTTATTTTAGTTTTATTTCCTTAGTTAAATTTATTTAAATTAGGTTAGTTAGTTTCTTAGAAAGAAACATGTAGTTTCAATTAGACAAATTTTAATAATTTTAGTTTAGAATTATTTTAGTAATTTTAAGTTCATTTAGGATTATTTTAGTAACTTTAGAATTATTTTTAGTTATTTTAGATTTAACTTAATAACTTTAGAATTTTAATTTAGTTTATATCGAATTTAGTAATTTTAGAATTATTCTTTATAACCTTAGAATTCGTAATTAGTTCAGAATTATTTTAGTAAGTAATCTTAGAATTTTAATTCAGATAATTGGTTCCATTCTCTTTTAAATATCTTTGTCATTTTAATTTTTTGGGGTCTTTTGATTTATTTCCTTGTGAATTTTCGAATGTTCATATTTTGACATCCATTTTATTTTGTTCGTCCGTCTAAACTCCAAGGGAAAGAATTAAATTTGTTGACTTCATGTCACCGAACATATCTCATACGATTGCGCGAACCCCTTCATTCATTTTTTTGCTTGTTTACTATTTTGCTAAACTTAAGATAATTTTCCCAAAAGACTCCATTTTCAAACTCACACCTTTTAAGTCAAAACTTCGACACTAGGTCGTCGTATCTTCAAAAATCTCGTCCATATCCATCTTTTAGCCAAACGAATCATTTTAATCAAATAAACAATTTTAAACCAAAAAACAGATATTTCAAAAGGTTCCTGTGGAGTACTGCAGATGCAGTGGGTGCTAATACCTTCCCATTGTATAACCAACCCCCGAACTCTCAATCTCTTTCAAAAACGCATTGTATTTTTATTACTTTTAAGTATTATTTTACATTGCATATTTTAGGGTTTTATTTCGCTATTTTCCCTTTTCCCTTGGAAATAATAAAGCACGGTGGCGACTCTTGCTTTTTGTGAGTCAAGTTAATTAATAGCTTGATCTCCGATTTTCACCGCTACAGAATTGGCGACTCTGCTGGGGAAAGATTGACCTCTTGCTGGTCCATCCCTAAGTGGGTTAAGCCTAATTTGTTTTATCTGTTTATCATTATTTGATTGTTTGATTATATGTATATATTATGATTATTTGGGTGTTGATAATATTTACAAAGGACAAGTCCTATACCCGGACTAAGTTACACTTAGGAATAGGACGGGCAGTATAGTCATGTTAACTTTGAGGGAGTAATTCCGAAGAAGGAGGAATGAGATCCCCCACTCAGTGGAAGGCCCTTTTGAACGTAATATTTGTTTACCGAGTAATCGGGAAGACATTATTATTTTCGACATGGGAGCCAGAGAAGCTGGGAACCGTAGAACCCTAACCCATCTTGGCCTTTTAGGTGTAGCGCAGAGATTATAACGAAGTAATCCGGAAGTAATTGTTACGCGATGCTACGCTCGGAAAAGTTTCTCTTGAGAATATTGTTGATTATTGAGTAATCAAAACGTTGGTAATATCCGAAGGAGGAATGTAGACTCCGGGAACTCTTAGAATCTTGTTCTACAGGTGTGATTAAACCGTTAGTACATACCTTGGGGGTGTTCCTTACCTTGACTCCATGCTCGTGACGTTGAACCTTTCGACTTTATTTGTGACCTTGCTTGTGGTTGTTGCATAGCCGTGCATTCATGCATCCATAAAACCCTTTTGACTTGACTTTGAAGGAATTTGGAGGTCTTTCTTTGTAAACATCACAAGTTTCGTCAAGCTCAATGGATCTTGGGTGTTGATAGGGCGAAAACCCGAATCCACCAAAATGGATGATTGATCTTGATGATAACTTGATCAATGTTTGGAGCCAATTTAAAATTCATCTTCTATCTTCATACTTTGATGTTTACAACTTAATATATTGAGTTCCTTGAAAATCAAATAAAAACTCTCTTTTGCATATCATACATCATTCTACATTTTTTGTTTCACTTTCAAAGGTCTTTTTCCGAGTCTTATTTTTCCTTTGGTCTCACCAGTACAACACTCGCGCTAAGAGAACAATGGAGAATATCAAGCAAGAGGTTTCTGAACTCCGTAGAGAGATGACTATTTTGAAAGCTGGTATGGATCACTCAACTGTTTTGGTTGAAATTCTGGTTGCCGCCCGAGTCAATCCTTCTAAGAAAGAAGAAGTGATGGAAAAGGTCTTCACTGAAACTCTAAAATCATTCTCTCATGAGAAGGTGATGGTTAATGCACCTAATGACTTTCCTGACAAGGTGAATGTGGGAGTGCGTCTAGAAGAAGATGTCTGAAAGGGATGTTTATATGAAGATGGTAGCTCAGCTAATAGTGTGAAGAAGTTTGATAATGACTTTTCCAAGAAGAGAACCAGAGGAAGAAATAATCATTGTCAGAATCATCATGTTTCTCCTATTCATCAACAGAATCAGCAAGTTTCTAATCAGAGGAAAACCCAGTTTGATCCAATTCCAATTACCTATACAGAGTTGTTCCCTATCCTGATGCAGAGGAATTTGGTTCAGACCCGACCTCCACCGAAGGTTCCTGAGAAAATACATTGGTACTACAAAGCTGATTTGGCTTGTACCTTTCATCAAGGTGCTCCTGGGCATGACTTGGAGGGTTGCTTTGCTTTGAAGATTGAGGTTCAGAAGTTGGTCAGAAGTGGTATCTTGTCATTCAAGGACGTTGGTTTTGAAGTTCAAATCAAGCATGCGCCGAAGAGTAAACACGATTGATAGTGACTTTGATTTTTGAAGGATGTTTTCGGTAATTCAAGTCCAGATGGAAAGCCTTCCCAGATTATTAACTTATTTATGCTTTTTGTAATTTTTTCTTGTTTATCAAAACATTGTTTGCATGTAAGAACTTGTTTGCATCTGAATGATTATCTTAATACAATGAATATGTTTGTCTTGAAGAAATTCATTCGTTTCACTCATATTTGTTTTCAAATTTTAAATTGCTTTTGCACTATGATACCAAATTGTTGCTCATTCTCTTGCCTAGGCAGAGATTGAAGGGAGGATCATGATCTAAAGAACACGAAATCTCTGGTTGCATGCTTTTGGATAAAATCTTGCTGATGATGTACAGGCATTGTTTCAAATCCCTAAACACTGGAGATATAAGGAAGATAATCACTTGCTAACCCCTTTTGAGCCTTTGAAGCAGAAGTTTCTTTTCTATACGAAAAAACCTTGAATTTTAACCTGGGGCAGGGTAGTTTTTAGTTAATCTGACTGAGTGTTCAAAATTCATAAGGAAGATGTTTTTTTGAGAAACTACGAGGGCTATCCTTCATGTATAATGAATCTAGAAGATGTGGAATCATAATGTTATCCCTCATTCATCAAGAAACGAGGCAATCACAATCTTCTCAACAAGCAAATACAAGCTAATGTCACACATTTTGTTCAAAAAGTCAAAAATCGAGAAAAAAGCCTGCTAAGTCAAAAAACATGAAAACGTGTGACTTAGGCAAAATTAAGGCATCCCGCTGGACTATCAATTCAAAAGAATTAGTTCAGGCAAAAGTTAAGGAAAATAAAAATTGCAAAGAAAAGGACTGCAAAGAAAAGTCCTCAGCAAAGAACAAATTGGTGACTACAAACACGAAGACATGAGGGTGGTTTCTACTCCGAAAGCCTCGTCGTTTCCTTGACCGTCACAAAATCCTTTTGAGAGATGAACACTCATGATTGAATTAACTGAACATAGGGTTGGAGAACATCATGAAGAATGGGTGGGCACCAAATATTTTGAGCCTTAAAATCTTTTTTCTAAAAACCATGAACCAGACCACGTTACAACCTTCAAAAGTCCTAATTGAAGCAAGGTTATTTTGAAAGCATACTTCAAAGAGATAGTGTTCCTGACTCCCATGAATGTTCTAAATAGTTATATTGGTATCATGTGTTTTTCCTATACAAAAATAAATGGTGCTTTAACTCGCAAAATTTGTGCGATATCTTTCAAAATCTTCAAGACTTACATAACTGTTGCATTAGAATTTTCATTCTCATTGTAAACTTTTTCTAACTGCAAAACATTTGTTTGATATCAAGGAAGCTCACATAAGCACCAGTGATGAGTTTATTCTTTTAAGGACTGAAACTATGTTGAGTAATTGGCGAATTATTTCAAGAACAAAATCATATTCAGGGGCGTGTCACATGAAGACCTTAAGCACGAACATGTTGCTTCTCCCAGTTAATGCTTTTCCCGACTTGTTTGCTCGTTTGGGGCAAAAATTCGAAGACTTTGTTGTGCCGACTACAGTCAATCCGGGGCAATCACGTAGAGATTTGATGAATCTCTCTAAGAGTTTGAAGACACCAGAGCATGGTGAATGCCAGGTCTTTTGTAAAATCCTCTTGAGACGATTTCTCCTCATCAACCATATAGCTTGGGGAATTTTAGAGGTGAAGCTATTCGCAAGAATTGACGTGCATCACGCAGCTTATCAGCAGTAAATTTGGGGCATCCAAAATTAATCCCAAGGGCAATCCTGATTTGTCAAGATATGTTTTTCATACATTGTCAAAGGGTGGTGTTCCCAGTATCTCCAGCTAAGCA